AAATTGTCGCTGCATTATAAACTATATTCGATCAACACAACTAGTTGATTAAAGTATTTAGAACTGCTCTTAACCAAATGATGACAGAGTAGTAGTTAAAACAGACAAAACACCGGTCGGTTAACATGAAAGATGATACAATTCACCAACAATTGATGAAGTTACGATCGTTGGTGAAGAATTTAATTTACATGATATAATTCTTCATTGCAGAAATGGTAATGTTCATCGAGTGGCAGAAACCCAACGCTTATACGACGGATTGCAATGTCCAATTTTATTTTGACAATGTGAAGATGTATACGTATATATATCATTTCAATATTAAAATGAGAAATCAACAAATAGTTGAGAAAATCAGTTGAATACGAAAGTCAATGCAATGTATTACTATTCATATTATCATTTGATGATTCGTGAAAACGTGAACAACATTATTGAAGCTACAATTTTAAACGAAACATTTGAAGGCGAAGATGTACTGCTGCCACGCATCCCAATGATTCCAACAGATATGCCTTTTGAATTCAAACGTTTACAGTTTCCGATACAACTCGTCTTTGAAATGACCATCAAAAAAGCACAAGGACAACTCACTAGTGAGTGGGATAAATTTAGAAAATCCATGCTTCTCACATTGACAGCTGCATGATAAGTATATTTACAAAATAGACCAGAATCGTGGMGAAACGTTTTCAAATTTTTTTTATCTAATAGGGTATATTCCTACAAAATAAGAGCATAAATGCATATTTCTGGGGTTTTAGAGCATATCAATCGAGGCTCTTATAATAAAATAAAATAATAGGCTATCGGCATGACGTAACGGGACATTTACGCATACGTTGATTATAATAATAATAATAATAATATTATAACTAGAACACTACGTAGCCAAATATACGCATTTGYCATCCAGATAATTTATTCACTTTGTTTCGACGATTGAATTAATGGTAAAATAGCTGGAACACGTAGCCGAATATACGTACTTGTCATCCAAATAATTAATTTCGACAAAAACGGTTTTGTTGTAGTGCAAAAATCAATAATCACGTATACTTCAAAATTTGACCAAAAATCTATCAAATTGTACATTAATATAATCATACTTAAATATTGAATTGTATAAATCAAAACCGATAAAAGAATTTAGTCACATTAACTTATCCCATTACTGTTTATAAATAAGTTTTTTAATGCCATATAATATGGGCTGAAGTATAAATTAACAACAATTTTATRAATGTAATTAGTATATTGTTTGTTGCAAGATTTATTTACATAATTTTATATTTGTCTTTTTTTCTAAWATTTAAAAATGTTTCCTTCTGCAATTGAACTTTTAGATATTTTAAGTTACATTAATGATACCAAAAGGCCATTATTTGAAGGGACACAAATATTGAAATGCATTGATATAATAGATTTTGATATTAAAAAATAAAATGAAAATAAAGTTGTGTATGTATAATAGTAACCGATCACCACTGTGGATGTGATTATTCTTGTTGGTCTATATAGTTTCCACAAAGTTTTTAAAATATAAAATAGTGTACTGCAATATGTAGATTAATTGTAAAATCAGTAGTTCTAATTCAAAAATGAAATGAAGATATTCTAGAATAGTTTTTGTGTTATATAATCAAAAGCTACATTTTACCATGGTATATAAAAAMAATTTAGTTAAAAGTAATAAGTAAAGTGAAGAACATTTCATATTTTCATGTAAATTGTTTGTTATTTTAAAATAAAAAATCTTGAAATAATGAAAATTTTATAATTAATTATATTACAATTTTTATCAATTAATTTATGGATATACAGATATAAATGGATTTTTTTCTGTCTGTTTGTCCTTTATGCATTCTTAAATGGCTGGACTGATTGCGACGAAATTTGATTCAGAGATATATTAAATCTATGGGCAAAAGATAGGCAAAGTTAAAAGTAATATGCCTGAATCCGAAAGATACTCAAACAGACATTTTGAGATTTACGATGGAAATTTTTATTTATTTATAAATGGTTGCTATTAGTGATGGTTATATAAAATATAATATATATGTTTATAGATTATGATAAGTAAAAGTTGCTAAGATAGATYTGATTGCTATGGGAAWTTTTTTTTTTGTTAACCCRCGGCAACATAGGCCATTGGTGGTGGGGGTGTTACTCTATAACTTTTTWACGGTGRTGGAAGGAACAYGCTAGTGTTTTTATGACAGAATTTTTAAATCGGCACCCGTAAGACGATTCTGMTATGCCCGGGTGGGAGGCGGTGGCCTCTCTTTCCAGACAGCCTGAACTGCCAGGAAAGCGATGTCGCCCCATGACCCAGGTTCGAACCGGCGACGGTGCACGTCGCAACCGACGCCTTAATCCAACCGAGCACTACACCCCCACCCCCAAAAACTATGGGAAATTATAAATTGTTTAAAATATACATATTTATTGGTCTATAATTCATCTCACTGTATATCGTCGTCTCAACGAGTCTGTATACGATTAATTCATACTTCATTCTATAGAAGTTTAATTGAGTCTTTCCTTATAATTAAATGGCATGATACTTTAATTTAAGTATCATGCCATTTTCGTTAGCTGAAAAACAGATATATTTTACATATCAATGTTCAGAATATATTAATTAAATATTTATTATATTTATATTCTATAGGTATGGTGTGTAAATTGTTTTGAGTTATTTAATTCTCATGTTAGCCGGTAAGTATAGTATTTTGGGAAACAATGAAGTCATTGTTACAATTTTAAAGCTTGAATATTTCGATCTCTGAAACAAAAATTGTACATTTGTATCTACAAAAAAAATAAGTAAGTTTCATTATTTTGAACGAGTTGAAGTTTGTTTTGATGGAAATTGAGTCGAACAGTTCAATTCAAGTAGATAGTTATTTAGTTAGAAAATCTAATGGACATCAAATCTGTCATCATCTTGAAACTATACTAATTAACGTCAAGTGAATAATGCGTACAAATTTAAAATATGCGAATAAAACGGTGGAAGAATGTTTGAGATTATATAAAATAAATGTATGTAATATACTAATATATCGTTAAATTAACTGTCAATAGTTTATCGTGTATACTGTATACACACGCACGTACACACTTACATAGTCACACACGTAATCATAATTCGCAATAGTTTAATATTATATTATGCCGTAAATTTTAAAAATTATTTTTTATACTTATTATCGACATTGCCTTCAATTGATTACGCTTGTGCATTGCAATTAATCTAGTTACTCAAAAATAGTCATTGCTGTCTTGTCACACCATTATATTATGTTATAAAGTGAAAATATTTCACCTTWATAGCAATTTTTTTTATGATATAGAAGTTGAATATTTAATGTTAAAATTGTATACGGACTAAAAATCGGTAGTCGATAGTAATTCGTATATTATTATGTTGGTTCTAATAGACGTACCGTATGGCATGTGAGTTGATTATTGCGATTACTATTTATTTTTCTATTATTTATATAGTATGTACTAATGTGAATAGAGAATTGTATACTTATTTTTATTGAAACTTGCCTGYTTCCGTACCATCATTGTAGTGAGTACCTAATTGTTATTATTTTAAGTATTTATAATAGGTACCACTTAATATATGATATAGGTAACTATTAAAATGTTAATACTTATTGAGTCAAAAAGGACGCTTTAATAATAACAATAATTAAAAATAGTTATTATAATATCTCGTCGAAGTCATGAATTATAATATAACTTTTAAGTAGTACCTAAAGTGGCGTACATTTTAACTTTCTCCGGGGGCTGAGAGGAGTGGATTGAAAAAATAACCAATATAAAACCCTATTCCCTTTAAAACTAGCCATTTTCCAAACAATCAATCATAATATATAAATATTAATAGGTAAAACAACAGAACAGATACAAAGGTTTACATAACTCATTGCAGTTAAATACTATTATAGTACAGAATATTATACATATTATACTATTAATTATTTATAA